TTCCAACCTCCCCGTGAGAGATCCGAAGACTTGGGGTATCTTTGTGCTCAAACACCAGCAGAGCCAATGCAATGCCTCGACAGGCTCTACATGTGAAACTGCCATCTTCACCTGCAATTAATTTTGTGAGGCAGCTATGTGTATTATTGGATAATGGGTTTTCCCCCTGTTTAAATGATGAAACACAGACAATCAAAGACGGCAATAGCATTATAAATATGCTTCAGATTTAAAGAAAAAATGCCCCATCTTTAAAAGCTGGATTTGGGGAAGGTGAGAAATCTAAATGAGAACGTAACCCTGGCTGAGGTACACTATTAGGTCTCAGAATATAAAGTAGCATCTCGTTTTGGAACCAGCTCCAACAGTCTCATAACTGTAGTGGGACTGAGTGCACCTCTGACTTCAGGAACACATCTTGTGTTTACATGCAGACATTGGCAGCACGAGGGGGGAAGGCCAGCATCAGGATTCATGACAGCCAGAGATCATTGCCACCCGAAGAAAGGGAGAACAGTGAGGCTGACATGTGGTCTCCAAACAGGCTGAGATTCACCTCAGAGTCCCCGAATAAGCTATGTGCATTCTCTTGGGGATGGTTTTAGAAATGAGGTAATGCCACTGACTCCTTCTGATCACAGGGGGTTCTACTGAGTAGTGGATGCTGACCAAGCCATGTTCCTACCATGCTTAAAAGCAAGTTGATTATTACTATTAATTAAACTATTAATTATTACTACTTATGGGCAGTGGGAGGCTGCAAAAGCAAATGAAAAGTGTCATTCCTGGACCAGATGTAGAAAGCACCAGTACAAAATGAACCCTTCTGCAATTTTAATTCAAATGGAGTGGAGACCTCATCGTTTTTATTTGGTAATAGGATGAATATACATGGACTCTGTTACAGAAAACCTGGAATGTTGAAAAATGCTCTGTACATTTAAGAGACCACAAGCCTCTTCTTTCAAATATGGAACTAAAAATAAATACATATTGTTTAAAATTATTCTCAGAACAGTTGAGAATACTTGCATTACATGGCATGATTCATTTCAGTTTTGCATTTTTTTCCCCATGAGTCTTATCAAACCAAATGTTTTTTTTTCCATCACCCTACCCACCCAATCCCAGGAGCAAATGTGTTGAGTTTTGCTGTTGGCATGGATTTTAATTTGTTTTCCACACCCTGGTGCAAAATAGCATAACAACCTGCCTCTCTTCCTTGGAAAAGGTTGGAGAACAGATGTATATTGGTTATGATAGTTTAGTTCAAAAAGGACACCTCCATGATCAGTTCTGCTAATATAAACATACTCTAAAGTTTATGTTCAAGCTTCATACATAGAATTCCCTGCAGAATGCCAGCTGAGCTAAAGTTGTTTTGCAAGACCAAGATCCTTGAATTTGATGAATTTCCCCTTAACCCTCCTACCAATAAGTTTGATGTTTCTTAACTCCTTTTAGGACCTGCCACTGAAGTGTTAACCACAGAGCAGGGAAATCTGCATGGTAGATAAGCCCTCAAATTCATCCCTCCTCCCTGCTGAAGACAGTTGGTGCTGAAGATGCCTTTGATGGAGGTGCCTGCCCATTCATTTGCCCACAGAAAGGTAGCATCACAGTAACAACGAGAGCTGTACTGTCTTTTTTAAACACGTCGTGGTGGAAGCAGCTCCTACCACAGCACAGGAAGAAAGCACTACCCTGGTGCAGAACCACCCTGCATTTAACGAGTCCTTAGATATCTTGATTATTTACTCTTTGGCCCCAGATGCTGCAGAGGGACCAGCGGGACTTTGCATGCAACTTCCTTTGATTTCAGTGCAACTAAAAGAATGATCAGGCCTAGGTGCTATTTTGCTCAAAGCTGATGTTGCAAACGCAATGGCTTTTGTCAATCAGGGAAGAAGGGGAAAGAGAAAAGGGGAGGAAAATATTCTTGTGAGAATCTGGGCCTATAGACAACCAGAAGTTCTGGCAAAACTCCAACCAGAACCCTACAATAAAAATAGCGGATATTTTAAAAAATTGCATATAAAATTGTATAAAAATATCATCCAAGCGAGAGGAAGAGGAAAAGGAAAAGGCTCACTCTGTCATTCTACTGCTAGGCTTTATCCTTAGAAAACCTCAATGGCCATAAGTAGTTTTGTCTGTTAAATGCACTCCTACGACCACCAGCAGAGACAATAGTATATGTACATTCCTCCTACCACTGGATAGCTTTAAACCTGGGTTGAGATGAGTACACAGCAGTGACACATATGTATTAGGGAGAAAACAAAAGAAGACAATGCTAGGAGAGTGCTGTGAGGTTTCTGAGTGCTGTTGTGCACTTAGGCATTAGAGTCAATCCACTAAAACTGAGCTCTGGGTAGGGAATCCATGATGGCTACAGGTCCTGAGCCAGCTGCTCTGAGAGCAGCTCCATTTGCTTCTATATTGTATTCAGTTTGCCAGAGAAGAGAGAGCTGCTGCTGTGAAGGAGGCACAGAGGACTGATAATGTGTGATGCAGTGCTGCCTGGGCACAGGTGAGAACTTTCCATGATTGTTCTGGGTGAAAAACAGACACTAGGACAAAGAGACGGCAGGCTCAGCAAATGGAGGTGCATGGCCTGCATTCTTTTCTAACAGAAAATGGCAGCATCAGCATTGGTTCTACTTTTATGATAGCAAACAGGGAGAGGGCTGGCTGGAATGGCAAAGCCCCTGGGCCTGTGGAAGCAAAGTGAGCACTGCATTAGGATGCACACCTGCAGCCAAACCAAGAATGGGACACACCTGCTGATGCCACAGGGCAGAGCTCTGCACCTGCTTTGGAGGGAGCAGACTTTGCACCCTGAAATACAAAGCATTTTCCCCTCCCTTCTACCCACAAGATGCAGCTGGCAGTTTGCACAGTCTGTGTTGTCAAGGCTCACTCTTGTCATCAGCAAGGGAGGCCCCATTTCAGAGTGCTTACGCTCAAACAGCGCCTCTGAGACAGAGCAGCACTGGTCCAGCACGTGCACTGGCGATGGCTCCGTTCTTTTTAATCACTGGGTGGGGTGGTGGATCAAAAGAGTGACAGAGAACACTTGATTATGCTGTCATTTGCTGAGCATCGCTGGCAAACATCCAATATGTATCATCAGAGGAGGATGAGCTCCATTATTATGAAATAAACTGGGAGGAGAAAGGAGCCGATACGGAATTATTTCAGACCATCTCATGAATTTCTAAAGATGGGCTACTTAATTGTAGATGAGGCTTCAAAAGTATTGTCCTCGTCAGCTTCCATCATTTCTGATTGGAATGGATTACTATGCTTTTTAATTTAAAACCAGACCCGCTGCAGAATTTGCAAGGACTGACAATGGAAGTGCTTGTTGCTGCCTTCCAAAGCAGCTTTTCACACAGCGCTGCATCCTGCATAGCCTGAAAGCATTTTGCTTCCAGACTGATCTTGTAAGCCTTTGTATGTACCTATGCAATTGGCATATTCAAATGGCAGTTTGTAAAAGCACAACGCTCTACCATTTTTCTCTGCCATAACCAGCCACGTTTTGGGAAATTTCTCTCCGATCAGAAAATTTATGTTTGAAAAAAGCAACACTGAGAAAAAAGGAATTTTCTTCTCTCATTTACCCATCAGGAACCAAGCTCCCAAAATCCAGATTCGTTCTGCTGCTAAATGTTCTACTGCATTGATACGTGGGGAGTAAATCTAACAGCTGAGGCTATACAAAGGGGCTGTACTTTCAGATAAGCATCAGCCTGCTTAGACTGACTACTGGGAAATACATTTAAAACAGCAAAATTTCCTCTTCATCTGCCACCTATTTTGCCACCTACAACAACAACAAGAAAAGGTTTCTGGCATTGATCTCCTTTCTCTGACATGGAAAACAATGTTAATATACATCATCTTGATAAGGAAACACAAACATCTGACCATGTAACTTGGAAAAGAAAGGCTGTGCTGTTAGTAAGGAAAGCTTTGTCATTAGAAAAGGTAAAAAAAGAACCTTTCATGTGTAAACACTTTTTGCATGCTCTCACACAAACAAATAATTCAAATCATCAAATAAGTGCAGCTCAGAGAACTGCCACCCTTCATCCTTTGAGCCATTTAAATAATGAATAGTAATAACCATAATTTTTTTTTCACTTTTTTTTTTTTTTTTTTGTTTAAATTATGGAGTGCCCAGGAGTTCAAGCACTTCTACATCAGCAGGAGCCAAAGGTCTGCTAATTCCCTGAATACCAGCTCCAGATAAAGTAGAGAACACTGACAGGTTTACCTGCAACCATGTCCCTGCCTGTCTCTAGAGGGCGTCTGGATTCACCCTCTGGCATCACACCACGGGCTCTGGGATGTAAGGGATGCCTGGTGCTCCTCCAGCAGAGCTCTCTGAGACCAGCAGATCCCTTTGTGCCTGCCTGAGGGGCATCCCGAAGAACTCCTCATGATGTCAGCCTGCAGCCAGCAGCACGGGCCCTTCATTTGCAGTACTTCTGTACTATTCCTTACTTGTGCACTCTGAGGCTGGAAAAAGAAGGCATCTAAAAACATAGTTCCTATACATCCAGGCAAAAATTAGGTAAGGATGCAACAACAGAAATCCCTTGCTTTTTATAGAGAGAGACCATGCCACTAGCTGATAAAGACCTAATCCTTTTCCTCTTTTCTTTTTTCTTCCATGGAATAAAGTAAGAGAAAGCAATTCTGCTTTTTTTTTTTTTTTTTTTAATATATATTTATTATTTTTTTACACAATTGCACAGTGGCTGATCTCTAGTTGTACTGGGAGGTGTCTAATCATACCACTCCTTGGCTCACAGTGCACTGGCACAGTGCTGCAGAGTGTTCCAGGGAGGCAAGGAGTCTGGTACAGTAACATGGCAATGATCCGGGAAGGGAACTCCATGACACGTCCTTTCATCTGGCCTGGTTCCTTTGTAGGATCTCAATTCCCAAATTTCACTTTATACATTTCCAGACTAATAGAAAAGATCTCATGGGGAATTATTTTATTTTAAGTGACAATGAAAAAAATTCCAAAAAGTACTACTAATCCACAGTATCAAGTTCAGGTGACTTTAAAAGGGCAGAAAAATATCAGAGCTAGCTGTGACTGCCTGCCTGTGTTTTGCAAGGCATTTTCTGCACATCTGTGTGCTGAAATCATCGATTCTCTGACTATAGCATCTCTTATAGAGCAGTACCCTGTTCTGACCTGCAGTCCCAAGAGACAGCAAGCTAACTGCTTCTTTTATAGTTCTTACCAGTGGCCAATAATCCTGGCAACACAGGTAAAACCTTTTCCAGCCTGATCTCTCACCTTTGTGCAAGCGCATGAGAAGCAAGAACTGACCGGCTGTGAATTAAGCCATCTTGCTTTGCTGTCTGAAAGCAGTCAGTCCCAGAAAGAAAGAAAGCAAAAGCAGATGAAGAAAAATATTTACTTTTTATTATTATTATTATTCTACTGGGCACGATGTAGGTATCTTTAGTCACTGTACGTTAGGTAAAGATAACTTTAGAAGTATTAAAGTATACTAAACCATCCTGCACCAGTGACCAAGCTCTCAGGCAGGATATGTTCTCCTTGACTCCAGGAGGTCTGACTCAGCAGGGACTGAACCACTACTGTGGTGTTTCATTTGCAGTAGTGATATTTCATAGGCAATGTCCCTCCAAAGAGCCTGGTCAAGGCTGGAAGTCAGCCTGCCGCTCTGAGCTGGGGCTGAATGCTGATGGTGGAGGAAAGGGGAGGTGGAAAAGTGCTACGAGGTGATACAGCCTTTCCCTGACACACCTCCTTTTATCAGCACTCCTTTCTTCACAGAATCTACCCCAGGATACACCCAGAGCTACTGCTGAAGCAGGACACTGTGTGCCCTCATATTTATTTTATTTAAAAGAGCTGGTACACTGATGCCAATGGTGAGACCCAGGAACTGCAAGAGTTACTTTCTCACATCTTTCTTCTGAAAATGTGATTTAAGTGCAACCTTTTCACGACATGAACCTAATCTAACTCTCTGGCTTTCACCACATGGTGTCCCAAAAAAAGAACTCAAAATGTCCCTAGTCTCAATAACTAAAATCTCAAATACAAACACTCCTGAGTGAGAAGGTACTCACATTCAAATGCAGATTTAGGCTGAGCTAACTGCTGTGATGTTTGCTAGTTTTAGGTGAAGCTCGGTCCTTGTACGTACACAGCTTAAGCAGGAACAGAGAACCAAGCTCTAATATAGGCTGGTGGTGAAGTCCTGTGCTTCTGAATATGAAAAAGAAATGCCAAAGAACTGCCTTCCTAAGCCAGTGTTTACACGTTCTCTACGCAGCATAGAGCCATGACTGCCATCCGATTCCTTGTGAAATACATTTATGACTAACACAGCACAACCTTATCCTGAATAAAAAGGAGATAGGCAAAAACAACTGTATGTGTAAATACGTGTGCCTCGGTTTCCAAAAGACAGGTAAAATTGCTCACAGTTAAATGGATCCTTACTAAGATTCCAAGGCAGAAAAACACTTACAAACATTTGCTGTTTCTCATAAAAATATACCCTCCTGAATCGAAGCCTGAGTGAGGAGGTTTTTCAGCATTTCTTCCCTGAAATAGGCCAAAATGACGGCTACTGTCCGTGTGTCTGACTCTACTGGATGAGACAGCTTTATCCACCGACTGCAGGCATGTGTTTAGGACACACTTCTTCATTTTGTTTTTGTCTGTACTTCTCCAGCCACACTTTTCCTTCCTTTGGCCTGTCCATTCAGTCAGTGATGAAAGAAGTATCACACTGAGATGAAGGTAAGAATTGATCCGTGTGATTCCCCGCTGCCCTTCTTCTCTTAGGCCTTCAGGACAGACAAAGTGGTTACTGGTAGCCAACGAGCAGATGTGGGAAACTGCTCATTATCTGTAATCCCAAGTTAAGTCAGGTACCTCAAACAGTACATTAATACGTGCTCTCAGAGGCTGACAAAATTTGCCCCAAAGGAATATCACTTTCATTGATTCTTTCTCTCCTTTTACTAACTGCAAATGCACTATAAAATCAAGGGTTGAGTGAGTCTGCCTACTTCTGTTTCGAAACAAAAGCATTTTGCTATCGTTGCATTGTCCGTGATAAGCTCCAAATCCTAACAAATGGCAACTTGACTACAAATTCAACATTCTTACGCATACAATCTTCTACAGCGAGGGTAAAACGGACGTCAAGTTCTGTTTACCACCAATTGGAAAAATCTCTTGGGGAAAAACAAAAACAATAAAAGGGAAATATTATCCAGTGAAGTATTATTACAATCTCATTTTCTTAGGTTCTTTTGCAACATCTTAATATTGTGATTTTGCAAGCTGAGGCGTAACAGCAAAGGGCAGTACCAGCTTTTGAAGATGACTCGTCTGTGTGCTCCACCTGTCCATAAAATTGAACCAATTGCATCAGAAAATCACCAGATTTTTTTAAAACAAAACAACTTCCCAAAACAACAACAAATGCACACATACATGAGCAAACAAAACTAGATCACACCCCAAAAACCAATGCCCCCACCCTAGAGCCCGGAGTCATTAGCTGTGAAATAGCCAGTGGGAGGAGGAGTGTTTTGGAAGTTGTTTAACGCCTTCCCCAGAAACTGGTCTTTGCAGAAGGAGGAGAACAGGAATGAAGAAGCTCGGCTAAAATGATGAAAGAAATGTGCAGTCTCTTTTTTTTTTAATATATTTTTACTCTTCTGTATCTGGAAAAAAAAAGAAAGAAAAAGAAAAGTGTCAAATGCTGCCTTTCTCCCCTTCATCCAAGGAATGGGTAATCTGGGGAAGAAAACGAAAGGTAACAGTTTAGACAGCCTCATTCACTCAAAGCAGTGTAGTTTGCCTTAACTGCTGAAAAGGCCAAAATGTCAGGTGCAAAAAAGCTACACTTCTTATTGACTTGTCTGGAAATTCCATTCTGTTTTACACAAAGCAAAATCCATTGCTGTCTGGCTAATCCAGCAGAAATTAAACCTTTGGAACTACTGGAATCATGGAACAGAATTCAGCCTTCTTTGCCTTAGAGCTCTCCGATCACCCTTGTTCACTACCTATTTCAGTACTCTTTTGGTCATAAAAGTAACAATAACATACATATGGTTTGGACTGACAAAAAGAATATGCTCCAAACACAGAGGTGCACTAGCTTTTAAAAAGCCCCTCTCTCTCAAAAGGTCTGCAGTGAAAAGCAGAGCCTCACAGATGGATGCATATGTGAGAACTAACAAAGGATGTTCGCATTACAGTCTGCCTGACTCCTCTGCAACTGAAAGCTAACTCAATACAGTAAGTGTAAAACCACATCACTGGTCAGATTATGATGGCCTGTGAATTTGGTTGTCACTTGTTGATCTCCAGAAGCCATTTGCACAAGGTAGCAAGAAACAACATTGGTCTTTTTATTGCATTGTGGATAATAACAGTATCACCAACAGGAAATAATAAAGAACAAAAAAATTACAATACCTATTGGTGGAGCAAAGCCATATCTTTATTGAGAGTGACCAGCCCAAATAAGATCTAACAGGTTCATGAAGTCCAGGGACAAGGCCAAAAGCAGTAACAAGAAATGTTGTCAAAGCAGCACATTCACAACAGAAACAAAAATATCCCTATTCCTGGCAGGAGGAGCTTGTCAGACTTACCCTTAGCCATAGTGTAACAACAGGATGTCCTCCTCTACAAGGAACTTAGGACAAGTCAGGTATGTATGGGCAAGTTATTTATGAAATCATCTCTCACAACAGCGGTATGATCCAAAAGTATGCAGGGACCCATTTAGAAATTTGCCTTTGATAGATATTTAGAGATTTGACTTAGATAATTAAAATTCCTAACCTCTTCAGAAGCCCAAACCCAAATCATTTGAAGCTAGCAGAATGAAATCTGTGGGCAAATACTAGCAACTCCCTCAGCCTCAGAATTTGTCTGACTAACAGTACCTGGAATGCACAAATGTAGCTGATTTCTATATAGTTATGCATGCCATGAATTAATTTCACAATGAACAGATTTCCTTGAGATAGAAATGTGGAAAATAAAATTTCTTCTTTATTTCTAATGAAAGAAGACAGTTTCTAATGGAAGAGGATACTATCCATTGCTTCTTACATGTCCCCCAGAAATCTTCTGGAAAAGCATCAAACAGGAACAAGAGTATTTCACTCTATATCAACCAAACAAGTTCTCTGAATACGTGTGGCATTCTGCTTAGATACATTTATTCTGAACTACGCTTTTAGCAGTGGAGTTGAAAGTGCATTTGAAAAGATCTCTCAGGCAAGGAGATTCAATCCAAGGAGACATGAATTTACCTGCAAGGCTGCACAAGCCACAGAAAATGATGAGATTAGAATCTCTGCATCCCTTTTAGAAAGCCGGTTTCTTTAGACTCTAAGAATATGGTTCTGGGTTTTTTCATTTCTTTAGGCAAAGGCAAAAGGAATCAACAAAACAAAGATGTGAGACTCTGCTACCAGACTGCGTTATGTCTGATGAATGAGTAGCAGTGGTTGCTGAATCATCTGAACCAGAGCTCCAAGTAACACTTAACCCTCCCTTCCATTCCTATGCCATCCATACTCTCAAGACTTTTAACCTCTCCCATCCCCTTTAATGAAACAGGGAAAAAATGTGATGTTTTTATGCAGACTAGAAGTTCCCTGTGGAGACCTGAGTCATACATTGTTTTCTGGCTCCTATTAGTCACATCATCAGCTTAAGTCAGAACATTCCAGTACAGCACTTGCTTTGAACTGTTTTTCTACTTGGTGGAGCAAATGCATTGGCTTCCTAGTTGAGTTTCCCTTTGGATACAATATAGCTTCCCTAAGACTACCTTAACCTCAGATATGATTCAACCTCTTTTCCAATTCAGAACAACAAATCCAGTGCAAATATTAGGATATATTAATAGAGCTAATTGGAAGAGAAAAAGAACAAATATGCAGTGCTGTGCATGCAGAAGACTTGTAGTTCACTTGGCATGTATTGAAATTCTTCATCTGAAATAGCCTCCTTTGAATTCACATCTCTGCCCTTCAGCATCGTCGTCAAATTTATTTTGTGTGTCAGGGTTGAGTACTGGCCCTCCCCTTGACCACAAACAGAAATGCCAGTGATTTCTACAGCCTTTCATGAGGTACCAGCACGCACTGCAAGGTTATGAAGTCCATCCCTGCTATCAGCTTCCAGTTAATACCACGGAATTTTTAACATGTGTTCAATGGAACACAAATGCATATATTTACTACTTTACTACATAGTCTGTTGCACTGAAGTGAAAATACACTGCAGTTTGTCTTTTCCTTCACACAGAACTGCTCAGCGTACAACTGTATGCTTATAGCAAGGAATCTGGATGCCAGTTTCGCACAACCTGTGACTCATCTCACACACGACCTCTCCTCCTTTTGTGATAAAACAAATGTTTTGGGGTCCAAGACCTTACCAGAACTACTCCTTGTTGGCACTTATTATGCTCATCTAACACAAGCTTTCACAGTCTGCTACCCAGCTGGAGAACAGGAACAGACAGATCCTTGGAGGCACTCTGGTGGAGATGAGAGTTTAGACTGACTCAAAAACTACACCTGCTCTGCAATGAGTCAGGCTCCTTGCCGAGCCAACGTCACAGGCATTGCTCTGCTTGCATCAGCTGGAAGTCAGCAGCCAACCTCTCTCCACATGTCTTCTGAAGGGCCTGGCTCAGCCTCTCCAGCCAGGACCTGCCCTCTCCCTGCACCACAGAGTCATGGAATCGCTTGCACTGAAAGGCCCCTGAAAGACCACCTGGTTCCAACTCCCATCATTTTCTCCCAGGTCACCAGAACCAAAGGGCTGTCCAGCACAGCTAGGGACGATCCCACGTTCTCCACTGCAGGGCTGTGCTGCGAGGGCAAGGTCAAAGTATATGTGCTTCAATTGCATTTAAGAGAAAATGCTCTGATCTCCTCTCCTAAAAGCTGGATGCTACATGTAGGCTGTGTGGCAGTGGAACATGGAATAAGGTTTTAGGTTTTCTACACAGACTACCTAGCTTGCCTGGGAGAGCAACAACACCAATACCAACGTCAGTCACAAGTTTTTGAGGTTATTCTCAGTCCCCGTTTCCTCTTCTCAAGGATGTGTTTCTTCAGCATTACAAGCTATACTCATTAATAAAGGATGCACAATGATACCACAGTCATCCAGGAGTGCACACTCCCTTTTTTTTTCCAAGCAGATGAAGGTAACCTTGCAGTTTATTGGTGAAAAAGAAGTATGCAGCATGTACAAATCTCAACTTCTAAACATGAAACTGCATGAGCACTCCTGTAGGCCAACAGAACTCTACCACACTGCCAAATAATGTTGCCCTTGAGGTACCACTATCCCAGGGCATTTCTGACTTTGGGTTTTAATACGCATCAAAATTAACCATATTCACTTTTAATAAACTACCTATGTGAGTGACATTTCATGCTATTATGATACGAAATCATAAAAAAAAGCAACCAAAAATTTCAGCATCTTTTTTTGTATTTTTTTTTTATATTTGGTTCTTTAAGATTTAAAGAACAAAATAATCTTATTAAAATCAGATTCTCTCACTGCATCCCAGTAACTACAGTGCATGTGACACCAACTGCCTGTTTTATGTTCTAACACAAGCAGTGTATATCAGAGGGGTGTCACCTTCAGCAAAGTCGAATGGGCAAAATTGATGCACACAATAATTTTTTATCCTGAAAAGGAAGAGTTGTGGGAAGAGTGTAATAAAGGATAAATGAGAGACACTGAGAAGATAAGCAGGGAACAGTATTCATTGTTTCTCACAGCACAGGTAGTGGGTTATCAAATGTAATTATCAAGCAGTAAATTTGAAACAAATAAAAAGATGTGATTTTTCATGTAACACCTAAGCAAACCTTAAATTATGTTTCTTCAGAGTGCTGGGTACGTAAGAGTACTTAAAAGAGGACTCTAAAGAAAATTAAACAAAGTAATAGAAGAAAAATCCATCAGAGGCTATTCAAGATTTGTCCTCTGCATTAGATTCTGTGGAAGAAAAAAGGGTTTAGGTTTAAAGTGCTGCTCTCTTTTTATTATTTCTTCATTAAAGTCTCTGTTATGAAAGGTTGTAAAGTGCTTGACAGAGAGCTAAAGGGCATTCTGGACTGAACCAGCAAGGTTGTTTGAATATTCCTAGGTAAGACACTGCAGTGTTGGGAAGTAGCCTCTACGTTCACATATTAAAACAAAACAGAACAAAGCCCATCAAAACAGATGTAAAAAAATCATAGAATCACAGAATGGCCTGGGTTGCAAAGGAGCACAATGCTCACCCAGTTCCAACCCCCTGCTGTGTGCAGGTCACCAACCAGCAGCCCAGGCTGCCCAGAGCCACATCCAGCCTGGCCTTGAATGCCTGCAGGGATGGGGCATCCACAGCCTCCTTGGGCAACCTGTGCCAGTGCCTCACCACCTCATATCCAACCTAAACCTCCCCTGTCTCAATTTAAAACCATTCCCCTTGTCCTGTCACCATCCACCCTCACAAACAGCTGTTCCCCCTCCTGTTTATACACTCCCTTCAAATATTGGAAGTATGTAGAAAAATACTACATACATTTGAAAAACAAATAATTCAAGTGTTCAGATTTTAGAGGAAAATATAGAATTTCCCCATCATGTACAAATTTACACCAATTATTACATTTCCACG